AATGTCCCCTGCAGTGCTCCCTAAGGGCCCTGTGCCTGTGCTCTGCAGGGCTCAGAACAGCTGAGGCCCCTGCACAATGAAATGTGCTACCCCAAAGCTTCCTCCAGACTTGGCAAGAACCTTGAAGCCAAGTTCACTGTTGCTACAACATCTATTCACACTTGCTTTGGCTCTGCAATGATTTTCCTGAAAATTACAACAGCATTTATAAATTAATTTCACATGGGATGTAGCCACTTGCCAAACCATTTCCCTTCCTCATCTCCTCCAGAAATGTGACCCATGAATTTTTCCTTTGGAAGAGTTCTCCAATTTCTGGATAACGGAAAGTAAAGCTTACCTATTTCTTTCTGGTGCTTTACTGTGAAGAAAAGAAAGAAATGCAAATAATTTAGAAACTGAACCCCTCCAACGATCACTGATGGGCCCCCAGCAGGAGTTACAGCCCCCCCAGGGCAGAAGGGCCACGGGGCCTGGACGTGCTGCAGCACCCGCACGACCCAGCGGCCCCATCTCCTGCCAGGAAGAAAGAGAGGATTTCAGTTCCCTTTATTCCTCCGGATCATCTCCCATCAGAGGGATCTTTAGAAGGAAAGGAGGCCCTGCCAGGCCCCCCAAACTGCCAGGGATTCTTTGCAGGTCAGGGCAAGTCATTACTCCCTTTCTGTGCTGGGGCAGAGGAGCAGCTGATGCTGCTTTAATGCCAACTTCCTTCCTTGCCTTCTTGGTGGAGAAGAAAGCTTTCTTTTCTTCACAGAAGTGAAGGCTGTGGGCTTTTAAGTTCCCTGGCACCAAACACGTGCCCGAGACACCGGGACAAGACTCTGGTTCCATCCTGGTGTTTCTCAACCCCCTCATCCATGAGGACTAGAGGTGGCTGAGTAGGATGGCTGCCCAGCCCCTTCCCCAGCCCCCAAACCCAGGATGGTACCTTTAATTTTAAATAGATAAACAGTGCTAATAAGGAGAGCAACCACAGCAACCAGGACCACGCCCAGGGCAATCTTCCAAGGATGGGCATCTTGGAAAAAGGGATCTGAAAAATTAAATCCCCAAAGGGGAGGTTACTGTGCAAGTAGCAATTGAAAGGAGATTATTTCTATTTCATATAAGGTCATTCCATCTGAATCCCATTGAAGGTGAAAACCGGAGTGTGCTCCACAAAAGGGCAAAAAATGACATTAAAAAAAATCCATTTTGACAATTTCACACTTGTCTGAGGTTGATGACATTTTGTCTGCATTGTAGAAGATTTTTAAAGGGAAGATGGATTTGTGACCAAGTTATTTCAGATTAAATCATGCTTTCTTCTCCTTTGGGAAAATCCATATATTACATTTCTTTAGGTAACATGGGATCAGAAATAGGGTGACATGTGCATCCAGAGCAACACTCCAGTGCAGAACAGCATCACCAGGAGAAAGGTGATGATTCCCCAAGGAAATAAAGTCTCCAGAACTTGTTAATTTCTAAACTGCAAGAGGAGCAGGGTGGAGTTGGAAAGCACGTGCTGCTGCAGTGCACTTTGGTATATGGTTAATGCAGTTCATCATTGCGTCTCTGCTCTGATATATTCCCAGCCCCAAACCAATCATCCAGTGAAAAAGGAGCTTTCCAATGAGACAAGGGAAAATTAGAATTACATTCTATTCTTGCAGGTGCTAAAATGAGACAAAAGAATTTATTTCTTGTACTAAATCTGTAGGACAGGATTTCACAGCGGAGGAGACTAAGGGCATGGGTTTGCTTCTCCTTTTTCATTTAGCTGCAGTGTTAGGAATGTGCTTATTTCAGCCAGGTGTCTGTATAAACTCTGCCACAAGGAGGGTTGTACCTTTCCCCCCCGATCGGCACCTGCAGACGGGACCGGTGGGTTTTGGCAGCACTCCTGCACCAACGCTGCCGAAAGCCTTGGCTGTTTGCACAGGGGGGATGGAAATGGCCTTGACATGCTGAGCACGTGTCCTGCCAGAGGCCTGGGGGTGCTGTGCCCAGCTGCTCTCAGCTGCAAAGAGCCCATTCTTGTCCTGGGTAGCGTTTTCTGAGAGGGACGGGAGATGCCGCCCGTGGGGATCGTGCCACAGCACCCGGGGCCGTGGGTACCAGCCGGCAGAGCGACAGGACACCCGGATCCCCCCGTGCTCGTAGCGCTCCAGCGCCATGAGCGGGGCAGAGCCGCTGGCTGCGGGCAAAGAGAGAGACCTGGGGTGACCCTGCGGGGTCCTGGATATCAGGGGGATAACCTGCTTTGGCTGTTTCTCTCCCTGACATGGATAAACTGACAGAGACAAATCCCAGATTGTTTTTCAGACAAATGTCACCTGGAGTCAGGACATTTCTCGCAGTCTCTTTCATGTGACTGAGAGATTTGCTCTGGAGGTCACTACTGCAGCAAAATAATCCACTGGCCTGGATAGTAAAACATAAAAGCACCTCCATAGTCTTCCCTTATTACCCAATCCCAGATGTTTTTTCTTATACCTGCATTTTTAAAGAAAACAATATCAAAAACACTTCTGAAGGAGGAAGTATTTCATGAGCTCCATATGACTGCTCGGTGGGCAGTTTTACCTCTCTGAGACATTCTTGAGATTTTACACCAAGGGACTTAATAAAACCCTATTTCCAAAGCAACCACCTGAGACTGTTTCTGGGCAGAAGGACAGGGAACAAGAGCACTGGCTATGAGCAAGTAAATTAGAGGTACTGGGGACACAAACTACAGACCTGTCACCTTGAGCTCCACCACAGCCTCGTCATAATCTGAGCCATGTTTAACAAAGCAGGTGTAACTCCCTGTGTCAGAGAGTCGGACATGGAAGATTTTCAAGTCCGCGCTGCCCTTGGCAAAGCCGTCCTTCCGCAGCCCAGTGCGCCCTTGGTACTGAAGCATCTGCTCCCCGTACTGGTCCTGGCCCAACTTGTAGCGATGCACAAAGGGCGAGAACTGCTCCCGAAACCAGGTCACCTCCATGTCCTGTGCATTCTGCCCTGGGGAGAAGCTGCAGGGCAGCACCACGTCCTCGCCCTTGGCCACGGTGATGGGGCCGGGGGGTCCAGTGACGGTGAGTGGAGCTGGGAGAGAGCCCCGGAGGAAGAAGAGAGAAGTGTGAGTTTGCTGAGGCAGCTGAGCTGGGACACAGCAGCGGCTGCTGCGCGTGGTTGGGGTGCTGCCGGGCCGGGCCATGGCGCTGGCAGCGTCCCTGTGCCGGGGCAGACGAGGGGCTGAGGGCAGCTGGCACAGGGACCCTGCCCTGCAGCACGGGCAGTGGGCTGGGGCCAGGCCACTGCCTGTCGCTCTGCTTCCCTGTTCTGCACTGCCAGGAAAGTTCTTCAAACCCCATGTTCTCAAGGGGACAAGTGCTGCCCATGTGGCTCAGGGCAGGCAGAAAGGGGCACAAAGAAAGATGGAAGCGGCTGGAAGGTTTCTGGATGGTTGGCTGGAGCAAGTGACAACTTAGGTACAAATAAAGCTCAACTATCCTTCACTGTTCTCACCTCTTAGATTGCAAAAATCCAGTATAAAAATCAAAATGTCTCTGGTGCTCTTGGCATCTTTAGAAAATAAAAGATATAGGCTTAGAATAATCTGTTCACTCAGTTCACAGAGAAAGTGGTCCAGGTTGAAGGCAAGCAAAAGCAAATGACCTTTTTTTGACAAGATCTTTTTCCAGTCAACTGCCAGGGCTGCCTTGAAGAAACTGCTTCAGGTCAGCAACCGAAGAGAACCCAGACTAATTTGTAAAAGTTCATTGTTGTTGTTGTTGTTGTTGTTTTTTATTGATCTGGTTCTGCAAAGGGTCCAGCCCAGCCTGGACACAGCCCAGTAAAGCAATGACACACTGTGAATGTGCAGGAGACAGCGAAAGCAGGGAGGGAAAGGGCAGCAAACTCCAATCAACTCATTGGCATCGTCTAATCCTCACCCCAACTGAGTGGGGTTGTGCCCATGCCTGTGTTCCCATGGCCAGAGGGATAAAACAGGATCCAGAGGAATGCTGGCACTCTCAGAAATGGAGAAGGCGTCCGGAAGGGGTCTGAGCCTGCTCTGTGCTCTGCTGTTCCCAGGGAGCTGCTAAACTGGCAGCCAGCAAGATATTCCAGCTGGAAGCCATGGCACAGCATCCAGCAAGAATAGGGGGATTCTTACCTGAGTGCCCCTGAGGAACTTGCAAAACTAAAGTGCAAATGACAAAAGCCGTCAGAGAGCAGTGGATGGGGGAACCACAGAGCATCCTCCTCCCTGGAGCACAACCTGGAGATGGGGAAGGAGAGGGAAAGGGCAAAAGGGAAGACAAACAACGGAATTTAAAACAAACCAACCAACCAACCAACTAACCAACCAGGATGAATTCACTTTGCAAGGGATTCATTGCTGATTTCAGCCCTTTCTGGAATGTCGAGGGAAGAAACTTGGATGCCCAAGGTTGAAATCGATTTTCC